GTTTAACCATAGGAGTCACTCAGGGCCCAGGCAGTGCAGAAAGTGTGCAGGGCCGAGATTCCCGGCTAGCACCTGCCCTGATTCGTCACGGCCAGCACCCTTCAAGGCTGTCCAGTACTTTGGCCACCACCGTGGGGTGTGTGGGTGGGCTGGACTTGGAGTAGAGGTACGCAAAGACGGAGGCCAGTTTCCAACATCAGTGACTTTTTATGTTATCATTCTCGACATTCAACAAATCCTTTCTGAGCCTGGTGCTCTGTGCCAGGCAGTCTGTGGGGCACGCGAGATTCCTGGAGGGGTTGCCATGGTCCTGCACGGAGAGAGCTCCCAGGCCAGTTTCCTTGCATCACACGTTTTGATGCAACAAGGTGATACTCTTTGCTCCTGTAATTGAGCACTTCCCCTGAACCACGCACTGCGCTAAGCATGTTACACACGTTGTTTCATGGAATCTACACAAGAGCGCTTTGTGGTAGGGACATGGAGAAAGTTATTTGTCAGAGGCAGAAGCTGAGGTTCCACATCCAAGGCCATGCGGCAAGGCAGTGGCAGGCGTGTGGGATCCACGGGCCATGCCCATGTCGGTGTTAGACCTTTTCTGGGGACCAAGTCTCTTTGATTCAGACTTTTTCCCACTTGGAGGCTGAACCAAGCAGCTGGGAGGAAAAGTCACCTGAATAAATGCATCAAAACAGACTTAATGGGCCAGTCATGGTGGCTCAAGCCTATAATCCTACCGTTCTGGGAGACCAAGGCGGGAGCATCGCTTGAGCTCAGGAGTTCGAGACCAGGCTGAGCAAGAGTGAGACCCTGTCTCTACTAAAAATAGAAAAATGAGCCGGGCATGGTGGCACATGCCTGTAGTCCCATCTACTCGGGAGGCTGAGGCAGGAGGATCGCTTGAGCCCAGGAGTTTGAGGTTGCTGTGAGCTAGGCTGATGTCACTGCACTCTAGCCCAGGCAACAGAGTGAGACTCTGCCATAACAACAACAACAAGAAAAAACCCAGACTTAACGTCCATTGATATGAGAATGGGTGAATTTGTTGTGGGATGTCCATTGCATGGAATATTATGAAGCCAATAAGGAAACCATTTTGTAACCACAGAACCAGCCCAATCTAGTTCAATTTTGGCATAATAAAATGGTGAGTTATTTTTCAGTTGCCACGAATGCTCAAGTTGCAGGTCAGGTAACCTAAGTGTGCCCAGATGAACCAAGTGGGCCCAATTTGTGACCCCGGAGTCAGCGAGAACCAGAGAGTCAACTACAAGTAGAACCAAAGTGCTCGGATCAGGGAACAGGGACCAAATTAAAACATCAGCATCAGCATCACCTCATGGCATGAGCCAATCAGATCACACCTCGTGTATCACCTCATCGCAAGATCCAATCAGATTACTCCCCGTTACCCTCTCCCTATAAAACCTGCCCCAGCCCCCAGCTCAGGGAGACACATCTGGGCATTGCCTCCTGTCTCCTCACCAGTCAACTCACAGCAAAGCTTTTCTTTTCTCAAAAGCAAGTGCCGTAGTGTTCTATGTGCATCAGGAAACAAACCTGTTGCTTCTCGGTAACAGTCTGACCCAAACATATCCTCCCAAAAGGATGCTCATGATATATTACTAAAGGAAAAAGCAACACATTTGGAGTAATGTGCCACTTAAAATGATATAAAATGAACAACCGTCTATGGTGCCGAGTGTGTGTGCACATTTGTACCTGCTAATGCGTGTTTGGAGACCAATGTGGAAAGCGGGAACATGGCAGCAGAGGGGATGGATGGAGAAGTGAATAACCAAGGGAAGCGCATGCTGAAAAGTCCATCTAAGATAAAACACCACGAAAAAGGAGCCCCAAATGGCCAGACATTGAATCACCATGCAAATCAGTCTGTTCACTAATATAAAAAATTTTATTCAGCGATGTACGTAAGGAAGTAAGGATAACTGTGCCTTCCATTCTCACCACCTAGAAGACAGTTTTGTTTTGGGGGACTCATGCCTCCAGGCCCTCGTTCCCAACAGGAGAAACTGATTGGTCATTACTGTCACACACTCAAACCCACCCAGGCCCGCTAGCTGAAACGTACTTTCATTTGGCTGCCACTGGATTGCGATGCAACTTCCCTTGAGATGAAAGAACACAGTAATGAGAATTTGCTTTTCTTAAAAAAAAAAAAAGTACCTGAATTGTTTCCTGTCCTGCTCCGTGGCCACTGGAAATACCTTGTCGAGGACACAGTCTCCAACATCGACAGACAGCCACGAATTGCAGAGGAAATACCACTTCTGGTCCATCGCCAGGTCATAGACCAGTACCCGGCTCACATACCTGGAGAAGGGACCCACAGATTTGAGGATAAGGTGTGTGCAGTGGGGGGTGGGGGATGAGACTTCCTTGGACACCACGAAGGCAACACCTTTGCAAAACCCAAGAAAAGGAGCTCCTGGAAAAAGACTGTATTTTTTCTTCATTGTTCTTGGTGCCTGGATCGAAATTGGCCTCAGAGAGGAAGTGCAGCTAGCATAGAGAGCTATCTCTGGGAAGCTTCCACATTGTCATATATACTCTGCAAGAGGGCGCCTTTGAAACTATTAACCCCTCCACGTGGCGCCAAGCCCTGGGCCAGTGTCCAGGCATGATGGAGCAAAGCCAAGTTGGATACTGCAGTGCACAAAATATGGTCCTCGCTCATGTTTCTAACCAGAGAGCGAGTCCACCATCGATCTGGGGCGCAGGACTTCAAGGGCATCATCTGACCTGATTGGGGTCTTTGAGGCCTGGGGAAGAATGGAAATCATCTCGTGTGTCCTTGGATGTCAGGTAGCGGTGCAGACAATAAGAATAGTAATGGCAGCAATAGCCACTCTATTAAGTGTTTGCTACATGACGGGGACTAGGCTAAGATGCCCTTGCCATGCATTTTCTCATCTCAGGGAGTACAGCCCCATCAAGGATGCAAAAGCCACCTCTGTCAAGGTCACGTGATGTCCTGAGGTGGCCAACGTCCAGTGATGAGGTGCCTGCTGTTATCAGGACCTGGACATTTATGGCCAACTAGGGGACAGTTCCAGAGCTCCCCCAGGGGTCAGACAGACTGTCGTTGGACTACATCACAGCCCAACTTCTCCCTCTGCCCATCCTGCCTCCCTCCCTGCCTTCCCAGGTGCTGGTCCCAGGTGCCTCTTAATAAACACCCTGCTTGCTCAACTCCATCTTGGAGTCCACTTCCTGGGAACCGACCTATAGCTGAGGCACCTAATGTGTTAACTTTAATCCCTTGGGTGAACTAAAGACAGCAGTATAAATGCCGTGTCTTTCTAAAGCTGCCAGCTGCTGATGGTGGTCAGACTGGACACCATTCATCTGGGTCACTAGTTTTGGCCTCAGACAGAATAGGGAAGACCCTGTTCTGAACTTGCCAGCTGTGTGACCTTGGGCGAGTCCCAGGTTGATGTACAGAAGGGCCAAGAGTGAGGCTGGCTCCAGACCCCAGAGCTGCAACTTCCAGTCTTTCTCCTAAGTACTGACCCAGTTTGTGTGGACCATGAAATACAGTGGGCCTCTCTAACCCTCGGTTTCCTCATCTGTGAAATGGAGATCCATTCTATGTGTCTTGCAGAGGCTTGTGAGGATCAGGAGGGCAGCAAATGTAGAGTGCCTAGCCCTGGGTCCAAGGCTTTGCAGGTCCTCATGGTTTGCCTGCCCCAGACTCACCAGGATGGCCGGTCCCCTGAGTTGTCATGCCACAGCCTGAGGCTCTGCAGTTCCCCCAGGGGGAACAAGGTGGAGAGTAGGAAGGCATCCACTCCTCCTCGCTCAAAAACCGGGGTGTCAGGGTCAGACAAGTGGTGGGGCTCACTCTCTCCATCCAGGCCATACAGGGTGACAGTCACCTGAAATCCAGAGTCAACTCCACTTTGTAATCGAGCCTCCCTGGCCTTGCTTCATCGGAAGTGGCCAAAAACCTATGAAGCATGGCCCTTTTACCCTCTCCTCCCATGCTGGACCTGCTCAAGTTATTTTTTCAGTTGTATGCAGATTTTGGGTGAGACTATCTGCATTCACATCTTCCAAATCATTTTAACTCATAAAATGCTTCCTGGAGACCTTTCCAGACTCCCCATATATTTATCTGCAAGGGCTATAGGGCAGGAACTAGTTCCTCCTCCCCAATAACTATATTCCCACTGTCCCTCAGGGTGCCTGACACTGAGAATCACACGGTCAGGTACCTTCGAGGATGTGGCTGCCCCTCGCCGGTGTCCAGTGTAGACTGTCACCAGGTAGTAGTACTGGGCAAAGGGATCGTTGTCCTCCAGCACTGTGACCTTCACCTGGACAGAGGACAGCATTAGAAGAGCCCTGCTCATCGACTCGCCCGTTGCACCCCAGACGGGAGTGAGCTGGGCATTGGTGACAATCAAAGGGCCAGACCCCATAATTATGAGTGCTGCTTATTCACGCCATCAGGTGAGAGCTGCTCTTTTCAAAAGCAGGATTTCAATTAAAAAATATTGGGAAGATAAAAAAGCACAAGTGCATTCTTCTGTTTTCTTTTTTTGAGACAGAATCGCGCTCTGTTTAATTTGATGAGAAAGGACATTTTGTACATAAAGAGGCTGAGGGGCCAGTTTGGCTGAGACAGTCCCAGGGGTCCAGGCCTGGACCAGCGGCTGACCTCCCAGCTCACCACCTGGGCTCCATCCCCCAGGGCCCCTGCAAGGGGACACCCCCTGCTCCTCCCTCCCGTTCCCAGAGACCGCACAGCCTCACCTTGGCCCGATCCTGAGCGTCCTTCCGCCTCGCCCAGATCACCACCAGCACGTAGACCACGCAGAGGCAGCCCACGGTGGTCACGACCACAGGGTTGTCCTCGAAGGTGGCAAAGAGCTCAGCGGTCTGGCGGACGTCGACGGCATTGGGCATCACCAGGAAGGTGCTTCCGAAGAAGGTGAGGTGGTCGCAGAGGCAGTGCACCTGCGAGGGGCTGGTCCGCGGCCCCACCTGCAACCCCCACAGAGGCCGTGGCTAGAAGCGCTAGGGGACTCATCCCTGGCTCCCTCCAGCCCCAGGGAGGGGAGTGTCCTTCGCCTCGAGCGGTGGACACTAGAATGGGGTGTGGTTGGGGGCACTGCGGGGATACCAGCTTCAGGATGGCCCCTTGGGCTTTTTTTTTTAATTAAAAATTAATTTTCATTTCAGAGTATTATGAGCGTACAAACATTATGGTTACACTTTGTCTTTGCCTCACCCAAGCAAGGGTTAAAGGCATGCCCTTCCCCCCAAAAAGCCCCCAAAAGGTTAACAACCCCCAAAAATCCCCCTAATCCCTGGAGAGTTTTACTACCATGTGATCACCCTAGTGTTGATCGGTTAGTACCAATTTGATGGCCAGTACAAGTGGAGTGTATGTGTATGTGTCTCTAAACAATGTATATTGTTTAGGTTTGCTATTTTTTACTTCTATTGTAAATAAATAAAATCTTTTTGTACGCATTCTTTTAAAAAAATTAATTTTCAAATGTGAAGAATATTATTTATAACAAATAACTTTGTATCCATCATTCTCAAAGGGCAGCGGTGTGCATTTTGCCAATCTGCTTTGCTTTTTTCAGGTAAGAAGTATTACAGGTCAAGTTGGGGTCCCTTTTGTCCCTCAGCCCCCTTAAGCAACTATTATCACAAACGTGGCGTGTTCCCCTCCAGTCCCCTGCGCCACCTGGTGCCCCATGATAGGCTGGGTGCTGAGAGGACATCACAGTGACCAACTCATCTCAGTTTTTCCAAGACTTTCCTGCTTTTCAAATGGGAAGTCCCAAGTCCTGAGCATTCCCTCCATCCCAGGCAAGCTGGGACAGTTGGTCAGCCTACACTGAAGAGCAAAAAGACCGGGGAAACCATGGGAAGAAAAGGGAGGGACGAGCGTTTGAATCCTAAGCTGAGGTCTCAGCACCAGGAAGGTGTGGGTGGAGCTTGGGCTTGTGGTCCCTTGAGGGGCGGGGCAGGGACCGCCACCTGTGCTCTTGCTTCACACCCGGCTGCCGCCCCCAGGCCCCTTGGCCAGCTCTCAATTACCCTTTAGGGCCTTCTGGTGGATAAAGAAGATTTAACTCAACCCCGCAACACAGCCCTGCCTCTGCCTCCCCGGCTCCACCAGGAGGCAGTGAGGGAGTGCACAGAACTGGCATCCAGAACATTCTTCTCTGCTGGAGCGCCTGGGGAGGAGGAGCCTCCTGCAGCCCAGTCCTGCCCCAACAGGCAGCTCTGTCTCTTTCCCTCAATGAACTGCCCGGCAGAGGCTCACCACCACCTTCACCGGCCTGGTGCCAACTGCTTCTTGGGAATTTCAGGTGGGTCTTAGCTCCGTGTTTGCTCTGTTGTTTTTCTCACTGTTTCCCAAGCTGGGTCATCGTTTGGCAAGCAGCTGTGGAGCTTATGGGAACACCTGGCCCGCCCGGGAGGGAGCGGGGCTGGCTCAGAGAAGACACCCCAGCAGGTGACCTCATCACCGGAGCCCAGGGAGCAGCGTCTTTGTGAAAAACAAAGACCCTGAGGCCAGCGGCCTCCCTCACCTTAGCCATGACGGACCCTTTGAACAGCGGAAATTAACCCATGGCCCCCCCGCTGTGGCAGTGGCTGCTCCTTTAGTTCCGCTGAGAAAATACCTGTGCAAGGAGACAGGTTCTCAGATCCCCTGCAATAATTCTGCCTTGATTCGCGATAAGGGTCTCCGTCCAGAGAGCTAGAACTTTCTTTGGCCAGTTAGAGAATTCTGTTGTGGTTTTCCACTCAAACCTGATGAACCATTTTCTTATTTATGGCTCCTCAACGAACTCTGTATGGTGATCTCTACATTTCTATGTCTCAGTCTAAACCTGCGTCTAAATCTGTACATGTGCGTCTGTTATGAGCCTCAAGTACACAGTAGTGGATTAGTCATACTTTCTGTTCCATGACACACCTGCACACGCGACCTCTGCCGGCCCTTAGTCATGGACGCATTAGCAGGTGCATATTTCTAATGATATATTATAACAAGCACCTGAGAACCCATCACTGTACTCAAAAGCTAGAAACTTCCCAACAGCTTAGGTTCAGCTAAGCGGTCCTCCCCCAGCTGTCCCCACGCTGCCCCGACCCAGCACCACCTGGAGCCCACGCACACCGTTCCTGGGATTTCCGTTTCACACGCCGTGTTGTCTTCCCCGTACTCACAGGGTTCAACGCGCAGTCGCGCTAATCTATGGAGCGCTCACTATGTGCCAGGCGCCGTGCTAAGTACTTCATAACCCTAATCTCATCCAAGCCCCACCCCGGCTGTACGTGGTAGCCATCCTTTATCCCTGATTTGGGAAGGGAGGGCTCAGAGAGGTGGGGCGACTCGTCCAAGATCACCCAGCTCGTATTGATGCAGTGGGACTGAGCCTAAGTCTGTCTGGTGGTACAGCCGGTGCCGCCTGGGAACTCCAGAGTACGTCACACCTGTGCTCCTAAGGCACAAAGGTCTGTGCTATGAGCGTGGGGACCGCTGTCTCTCAGACATCGCCACACGTCCTGGTCTCTCCTTGGTGCTTTGGAGAACTCCCTGTGTGCGGCAGAAACAAACCCCGGAGGAGCTCGTTCTGACTCTCCTCCTGCCACGGCTCTTTTGGTTCTTATGACCATTGTCATTTGACACGTGTGCGCCATTTGCCTCTTGTTTGTGTCCTCTGCTCAGCCGAAAGCTCCCTGGTTTTTCTTACCGTTGTGTCCCCACCACCGGGTGCGCGGTGAATATTTGCTGAATGAGTGAAAGAAGGTCCCAGCGGATGGAGACAGACGCGCGGTAAATGTCAACCTGACGTGGAGGGTGCCGCTCTGGGGAGGGCGTGGAATGCTGTGGAAATCCAACTGGGGGAGACGTCTGGGAGGCTCCTCGAGGAGGTGGCGTGGGAGCAGGGACTAAAGGGTGAACGGGAGTTTTCCAGGCAGGGGTAGGTGAGAAGGGTCTTCGGGGAGAGGACGCCACAAGGCAAGGCATGAGCAGGGACGGGGAAGAGTTGTACCCCAGACACGCTCTGACGGCCCCAAAGCCAACATCTGCCCACAGGACGCTGTCACGGGCCTGGGCTCCGGGGGCACAGGGCTGGGCTGAGACAGGGATTTTATTTAAATGAACAAAGCCAAGTGCCCCCAGGGGCTCAGCGGGCCTGGCCAAGCCCTGGAGAGGCAGAGCCACCTATTGCTAAGGCTGCGCTCTGGGGACACACCTGGCTTCAAGTCCCAGTGCCTCCACTTACGAGGTGTGGGCTTTGGGGCAAGTTAGGTGAGTTCCCTGAGCCTCTGTTTTACCACCTGTACGAAGGGAAAAACAACTGCCTTGGAGATCATCGTGGAGATTGATGAGCTAATGCAAGCAGTGCGTGGAACGCAGCACCTGGCGCGGAATCAAGGATGCAGCTCTGAGCGCGTTTCCTTGGAAATGACACCCTGGCCTCCCTCCGTGACCCAGAGTCAGGAGGGCTTCCTGAGTCATTTGTCCACTGGTTCAATGATCATTTGTTCCCCGGGGTGAACAAAGCACGTTGCTCCTGTCTCATGGGGCTCCCAGTGCCCGAGGGAGACCGACATCATTTGAATGATCTCATAAGTAGATGTAAAATGACTGCTCTGTTTAGGGCTGGGGGTGATGGCATTATGTATACGACGGGAAATGTCACCTATGCAGGGACTGAAGCAGTTTTTTTTTTTTTTTTTGAGACAAAGTCTCACTCTGTTGCCCAGGCTAGAGTGCCCTGGCATCAGCCTAGCTCACAGCAACCTCAAATTCCTTGGCTCAGGTGATCCTCCTGCCTCAGCCTCCCGAGTAGCTGGGACTACAGGCACACGCCACCATGCTCGGCTAATTTTTTCTATATATTTTTTTTAGTTGTCCAGCCAATTTCTTTCTATTTTTAGTAGAGACGGGGTCTCGCTCTTGCTCAGGCTGGTCTCGAACTCCTGAGCTCAAACGATCCACCCCCCTCGGCCTCCCAGAGTGCTAGGATTACAGGTGTGAGCCACCACGCCCAGCCAAGCACAGTTTTCTTGAGGAAGCAAGGCTTGGGGCGGGAGTGGGGCAGGGAGGGCAGGTGTTCCAGGCACAAGCAACAGCATATGCAAAGGCCCTGTGGAGGCACCAAAAGGAGACCCACATGAGCTGGACGTGGCCTACCAAGCCACCTTGCCACCTTCTTCACTTCTCTCTCCTCACCTGGCAGCCTGCGTTGTCCCAAGTCTCCTGGACCTCATCCCAGAACACACAATGGGACAGGAAGGTGGTGATGCCAACTGTGAGGTCCCTGCCGGGGGCTGGCTCCAGGCCAGACTCGGGGACCACGGTCAGGTAGTAGATGCCTTCTCCAAAGTGCAGGTCCTGTGGGCCCAGGATCCACGTGGACAGCTCATCTGCAGGACAGGAGGCTCCGGGTCAGCCTCAGGCCGTATTGAGATGGGGGCTAACAGCACGGGAGAGGGGAACTGAGGCAATTTGGCAGGGGAGCAGAGACTCTGGTGGTCCCCCCGCCCCATGTCCTAGTAGTACCATCCCCCCCTGAGACCAGGAGCATAGAAGAAGGGACACTCCCGGTCAGTGTGCAGAGCCAAGTCAGACAGACAAGGACTGAAGTGCTGATTCTGCTCCTCATTGGCTGTGTGATCTCAGACCAGTTACTTAACCTCTTTGTTCTTATCTGGAAAGTGGAGGGTTGTGAGGACTGCAATGAGGTCAGTTCTGTAAGTGCTTGACAGCTGCTTCTCTGGAGCATATAGTAAGTACTCACCTAATATTGGCTAATAATAATAATAACACCAACGAAAGCCACTGAATGTGCCAGGTAGGTTTTTTGGGGTTTTGTCTTCTTTTTTTCCTATGGCTTCTGATTCTCAGGTGAACCTGGTCACAGCCCCGGAAGCAGCTCAAGACACGGCCGGGGAGGCCTACCCGGAGCCGCTGCCGGCAGGAGGTGCGTCTGGGCATCGTAGCTGGTCGCGTTGGGGTGGTAGCCGTAGCCCAGGCTGAGTGTGAGCGGGATGCCGGGTCCCCAGTGCAGCTGGATCCCCAAAGCCGCCTCCCGTGAAGTCACGTTCACCCGCAAAGCTTCAGGCCTGGTCAGATCCAACACGGTCGGCTCGCTGTGTCCTTCTGAAGCCCGGGGCAGCAGGATCTGCCATCAGAAACGATCGTGTGGAGAGCGCGCCGGGAAGAAGATGCCAGCCAGGGGCACCAGGGCTGCCGTACAGAGCCGTGCAGCTTGGAGTCCATACTGGGCTTTGCTCACTGCATTACTTTCCCGTGGCTTCTATCACAAATGACCACACCAGGTGACTTGAAACAATATGAATCTGTCAGTGCTGGAGGCAGAAGCCCAAGATGAGTTTCACAGGGCTGAAGCTGGCAGGGCTACCTCCTTCTTTTTCCCCCGAGACAGAGTCTCGCTCTGTCACCCTTGCTAGAGTGCAGTGTGCTCCCTGCAACCTCTAACTCCTGGGCTCAAGCGATCCTCCTGCCTCGGCCTCCCAAGTAGCTGGGACTACAGGCGTGCACCACCATGCCTGGCTCATTTTTCTATTTTTATTAGAGACGGGGGTTTTGCTCTTGCTCAGGCTGGTCTCCAACTCCTGAGCTCAAGCGATCCTCCCGCCTCGGCCTCCCAGAGTGCTAGGATTACAGGTGTGAGTCACCGCGCCCAGCTGCAAGATCCTTAACTCAAGCACATCTGCCAAGTCCCTTCTACATTTAAGGTAGCATAGCCACAGGCTTCAGGGATGAGGATGTGGACATCGCTAAAAGCTGTTATTAGGCCGGGCGTGGTGGCTGGGAGGGGAGGGAGCAAAAAAAAAAAAATCTTAAAAGAAACTGAACTCATATTGCACCACGGTGTGCTTAGGTTTTTGGTCAACTTTAAAGAAAATCTAACTAGATATTTCGGAGGCTGTTACAAAGGTGGTTTATGCAATGAAGATGATTAAACTTTCAATCAATAGATTTATATAACCAGTAAAGCTTCTTGGTTATACACCTAGAGATTGACAAGTGAATGTACATTTATACTTTTAAGATAAATACAATGTTCAAGCTAGTGTAAGGATCATTTTGAACGACTCTCTTCTTTAACCATGTTTTTCTTATAACCAAACAACTTTTGGTCCCAACCAAGTTGAAAAGAAAGACAGAACTGACACCTGACTTCTGATGACACCCCCAACGTCTACCTCGATATTCTCCGACAGGTTCTTCATAGGTATGAGCCGTCCACTAGGGCTGGTCAGACGGAGGCCACCAACGGTTCCACTGATGTCAAAGTGACTTTGGGTCTGGAAGGGGCTCTTTGGGAAACTCATCATCTGAAACCAAGAACGAGGAGTGTCGGCCAAGGCCCCCGAGGGGCTGGAAGGCGAATAGGCCACTCAATGAATGATCAGGTCCTAAGACTGGGCGGATGAGTACCCCTTGCCTGTGGGGTGAGCAAGGGCCCTGCCTTCAGCTGCTGCTGGGGTCCCTCAAGGCTGTGGCCTCAGAGAGCTGGCCCTGGAGAACCCCGATCGGACTTGCTTGGGCTGAGCAGTTATCGGAATGTAAAACCGTTCCAGTCTTTCTTCCCAAAGAGCCAATATGTGTCCAAGAGAAAGACGTTTGTCTACTTTTATTAAGGCTCAAGGAGTAGACAGTCAAATGTGCCAATGTGGGGACGGAAAAGACCTCTGGGTTTGCCATTTCCAAGCTATGGCACTAAGCCAGAGGAGCTTGATTTCCAATGAACTAAGGCCGCTGGAGAAATTTTGCAACACAGTGGAAGGAGGATGCATCTGGGGGCCAGGAAGTCGAGAGGGGCCACTAACTTGTGGCTTTGGGCAAGTCATTGAACCTCGTCTGTAAAATGGGCACAATACTACTCTGTAATCAACAGGGCTGTTAAAATGAGCAAATACGTGCGGAAGTGCTTTGCAGACTGTAAAGGGCTGTCCCCAAGTTATTACTGTCATTACCCTTATGTCCACAGGCTCCTGGCTGTCCTCCAGACAGCCCAGGGAGGAGGCGGTGGGCAGGGTGAAGGTCGCAGAGTTAGCATCAGCGACGTGCACAGAGGAGCCTCGCCAGCTCCGCGGCTGTATTCTGGCCACGGGTGAGGACAGGGGTGTGGGGGGAGAGGAGAGAGTCAGTGTTGGAGGAGGATTCCCGACCCCCCACGGCGATACAGGGAGCCCGACTTTCCCCAGAGAGTGGCCGGCTGTATCTTCCCCCCTCCCGATGGTTCTGCGCATTTGGATCGGCAGAATCGGCATGAAAGGCAGCCCGTGTGCCCTGTGCAGGCGTGGAGACTTCAGGAGGACGGGGCTGTGCCCGCTTTGTTTACTGCTGTGCCCCAGTGCCCCAAATAGCGCCTGGCACGTGACAGGGGGCACGTATTCCCATCAAGTGAATGATGAGCTTGGTGCAGACATTTCTCCAGGGTTACCTCCAAATCTACCTCGACCTCTGATGCCATGGGCTTCAGTCCCATCTTTTCTGGTCAGATTGGGGACCTCGTTTCAGACCCCACCTCTGATCAGGATGCTGCTTTGGAAACTGCCCCTGGGACCCAAGTGGGCCACCCTGGCACTGGGGCTTGGTGCAGGGGTCCCCGTGGTGCCCGCAGCACCATGCAGACCCTGCTATCCACGTGGAGGAATGGAGGGTGCAGGGCACCCTGAAGTGACCTGCCTCTCAGGACTCCTTCAAGTAGCTCCAACCCTGGGCTCAGCATCCAACACCTCCCTTCCTGTGCTGCGCAAATGCCCCACACGGCAGTGGGGACCGTCTCCAGGGGGAAGGCCCTTCCCAGTTCTGGGTGCCACCGCATCTCCAGCCCCAGGGCTGGTCTCCTGGGCTCTGCCCAGCACAGGTCCCGGGGTGTGGGTGTGGAGCGAGTGAGGTTACAGGATGAACTTTCTTGGGGACCCACAGGGCAGCCCTTACCTGTCTGTGTACACGGCAATGGAGGGGGTGGCCAGTGTGGCTGGCAGGGCCCCGGGCAGCTTCCCCAGCAGGAGGGCGGCCTGCACCCGCTCCACAGCTCCCAGCAGCCGGGGCACGGTGACGGTCTGGGAAAGGAGGCAGGAGAATACCGCTATGGACCCATCTCTGTGTATCACCTTCGGTTACTATCCCCAGGCTAGTGTGGGACTTGCAGCAGGGACCAGGAGAGGACAGAGGAGTGAGGGAGAAAGACAGCCCTGTCGGCAGCGAGAGGAGTAGGCGCTTATGAAGATTCCAATGCCCGACTGATGCGAGCCCTTTCCATCCTCACAACAGCTCTACTCGGCAGGTGCTTAACCACGATCGCACGGCAGGTGGGGAAACAGAGGCACAGAGAGGACAGGAGACTTCGGGAGGTCACACGTTGATAAGGGGAAGAGCTGGGACCAGAGGCCACGTGCTGAGCTGTCACTCAACAGGGCTCTCTGTGCTGCCGACACCCACGTGAGGCCTGGGGCTTATTCCAGGGGAATCGCAGAGCCGGGAGCAAGGCTGTTTCACGGGGTCCCCAGGCTTAGACTCTGCTCCCCACCCATCCCAACCCCCAGATGAGATGTGTCCTTGCTGACACCAAGGCTGCTGTGGGGACCCAGGAGGGGCTGGATGTTTGCACAGAATTCCTGTTAGGGCACAGATGGTGCGTGCATGTGTGTGCATGTGAGGGTGATGTCACTGCAAGTGTGAAGATAAGTGTGTGTGTGTGTGTGTGTGTGTGTACGTGAGTCTGCGAGTGTACGTGAATGTGTGTGTATCTGAATGTGAGTGTAGGCCTGAGCGTGTGCGTGCGTGTGTTTGAGCATGCACATGTGTGTGTGTGATTTTGTGATTATGGAGTGTGCGACCGTATGTGTGCAAGAGTATGTGCCCGAGGCTGTGTGTGAGTATGAGAGTTTGAGTTAGTGTGAGTTTGCATGTGAGCGTATGAGTGTGTGTCTGTGTGTGTGTGGGGGGGGGTTGTGAGTGCGTGAGCATAAGTGAGTGTGTCTGAGCGTGTGAGTGTGTGCATCCAAGCACCCTTGCGGGTCGAGCGTCTTTCAGTTCTTCCTGGCGAGAGTGACGGCCCCACGCAATGAAGAATGTGGAGCTACAAGAACGGGCTCTGCGGCTCCGTCACGATGACGTCTGGGAGGCTGTGTCCCCATCAGGGTGCTGGGGCCGCCTGAGACGGGGCTGCACCTGCTCCTACTCTGGGCAGCGGCCTCTCCTCTGTGTCGTTGGAGAAATGAACCAGGAGTTTGCCCAGACTCGAACAGGGGTCCATCTGACCTCTCTCCAACTGCCGGTTTACCTGGATGAGGCCGAGTGCCTCGATTTACAGATGAGGAAACAAGGCTTAGGAAAGCTCTGTAGCTTGCCCAAGTCACAGCCTCCTGAGTGACAGGGACAGGAGTCAAACTCAGGCTGCCTCGTTCCAGAGCCTGTGCTCTGTGCCACACCACACTGCCTCCCAGAAGCTCTGCCCTCTGGAATTTTTCTTCCAGCTCCCTGGGCAACACTTTAAGGTCTGTGCCTCAGTTGTGTCGTTTGCAAGATGGGGAGGAAGCTCCACCCAGAAACGCTGGTGTGAGTGGGGCATGCGCTGGGTATGGGGTCTGCATCTAGCCTGGGACACCCACCTGGCTGCCTTCAGCTTCCACAGGCTCCTCCAGTCTGCTGCTCAGGGAAGCTTCCAGCACGCTGCCCACAGCCTGAAACAGGTCCCTGGTGGCTGCCTGGCGCCTCTGGTCCTCAGGACGGGCCTTGGCACTCACTGTCAACAGGGCCTCACTGACATGCTGCAGAGCCCGGCTAGCCTCCCGCTGAGCTCACCCAAAGAAGGAAAAGCAATGTGTGAGCCCTTGCTTGGGGTAGACCCTCTTCTGTGCCATCCAAGAAACAAGGGCTAGAGTGGAACCTGAAGGGGCACATGCCAGGGAAGAGCTGGGCTAGAGGCAGTACACAGCTGCCTGTGTCCCTGACCAGAGGCCAGGCCCTCCCTCCTTGCAGCACCCAGAGTTCCCTCAGCAGAGTGTCCTGGTCTGCCTCTGCGTCCTTCCCAGAGCACCCTGCACAATGCCCAGCACGTAGCAGGCCTTCAGGGACACTCAATGACTGGGGTGGATGGAAGGATGGAAGGATGCATAGGTGGGTGAATGGGTGGGTGGGTAGATGGATGGAAGGTTGGATGGGTGGATGAAGGATGGATAGATGGGTGGGTGGATGAGGATGGATGAAGGATAGATAGGTGGAATAATGGATGGATGCGTGGGTGGATGGATGGATGAGGATGGATGAAGGATAGATAGGTGGGTAGATGGATGGACACAGCATTTTTTCCAATTTTGTGATAAGTATTTGTGGAATTATTTGTTTAATGTCTGGCTGTCCCAGTCGTCTGAAAGTGCCATGAGGGCAGAGGCCACAACTGCGTAATTTGCTGCTGAATTCTCACCAAGTTGCACAGCACCTGGCACACACTAGACATTCAGGAAGCACTCGTCGGATGAAGGAATACATGAATGCACACGTGAATGGAAGGATGGAGGGAGGATGTCCACGTTCATAGGTGCGTGTATATACAGTGTGTATGCACATAAAATAAGCTGGATTAGCACATGGGTGTGTAAACAGAAAGTGTTACATCCGCGGCACCCGTGGCCCCTGAGACAGAGACCAGCCTTGCTGGCTTCGGGCAGAGAATGTGAGGGGACAGCCTCCTGCCAGAGCGGATGGAGCAGAGCCAGGCTGTTCTCCCCTCGAACTGTTTCCATGGCTTCCTTTTTAACCCTCGGCTGCCATAACCCTGCGAACATGAGGTTTGAATTTGAGCTCTCCAAGAAGCTGATCCGGAGGCAAGGGTCCGAGAGCAAGTCATTTATCAGAGGTGACCCCGGGAAACATTGCTGGGGGTGGGTGTGAGACAGGGAAGGGTGGAAGCCGAGACAGGGGTGTGGCCACACCCGTTTCCTGGGGCTCAATCTGCTTGAGATTACCCATCAAGAGGGTACAGATGCCCCAGCCTCATTAGGCGCCGACACTGCATGAATTCCCTGCCCCGTGTGTAGGTAGAGGGGACTCTGGGGGTTGGGGAAGGCCCCCAGGCAAGGAAAGGCAGGAGCTGGTGTGTGCTGGGGTGGGGGACATGGCTCTCAGCAGCAGTGTCTGGACCCGCACTTGGCCTCCGAAAGATTAATTAGACTCAGTTACTCCCTCAAGGTGCTCACCAGCGAGTGGGGAGAGAGGGGGTGGGCAGACAGCCCTCGCACCCAGCCTGAGACACCCTCCCGTGCACCATCCATGCAAGACCCCTGGAGAGAAGATGGCAGAGGTCTTGGTGGCCTCGGGAGAGCCCCATGACTGAGGGACGCCTTCGACCTATGCTCAGCTGGGCTGTCACCCACCGCCATGGAGGAGCGTGTCCCATGGCGGGCTTGGCGGGTGGGGCTACGCACCTGGGCCAAGGGGGTGAGCTCCTCGCTCTGGCAGGTCACCTCTCTCAGCGCCTCGGCCAGCCCCTGCACCCGCTGCATGTCCTCCAGGCCGGCGGTGACCGCAGACAGTGACTCCAGCACGTGTTCTCTGACCTTGGCACAGGACGAGAAAGGCAGGGAGAGGAAATGTAGCCCCAGTGGCTCCATGAAGTCATTTCAGAAAGATATGGGGTCAGAGGAGTGACCAGGCTCATCTGGGGTTCTCTGAAGCCTGGCAGGCCTCGGTTTGCCTCATGGGAGGTGTGGTAGGCAGGACGATGATCTTCCAAAGATGTCCATGTTCTGATCCCCAAATCTGTGAGTATGCTACCTCACGTGGCAAAAGGCACCTCGGCAGAATCACTTAGGAGCCCCAGGCCAGGCCTTCCTGCCGCTGGGCCCACAAAGCACAAGTGAGGGGCTGGCTTTGGCTGCATCAGGGAAACCCCAAGGACATCAGCCATGGACGTGGACGAGCCACTACAGTCTCTTACCCACTGCTTCCTCATCCATAACTTAGACAGGGACCTCCCCTTTTACTTCGTAGGAGGATTACACATCCATGAAGCCCTAATTCGGGGTCTGGCAGCTCACAGAAGGTGCTCAATAAATGTCACTCTGTAAGCAGTAACCATGACAACCGCTGCTTCTTGTACTGAGTGCTCTCCTGGTGTCCAGCACCGTGCTATGGTACCGTCCTGCAAACCCTCCAGGGACCAGGAGAAGTCTTTTTTCTCTTCTACATGCCCAGCAGGAGTGTCTGCGCGTGTACGTGCATGGGTGTGCACACACGTGCATGTTCAGGTGGCATGTGCCGAGGGTGGATGTAATCATATGTTCTGCAATAATTGTTCATACCATGAGGTTGTAACATAGGAAATGGCCATCTTGTGGAACGAAACTGGTTGAATGTTGGCAATTTTTTATAGTTCAACCTTTAGTTGCAGTGATTGCAATTCTTACTTAACCCTCACCACCGCTTTATGAGGAAAACAGTATTGTTATCCCTCTTTTCCAGGTAGGGAAACTGAGGCTTAGAGAGGTTCAGTCCTTGGCCCATGACAACGCGGATGGTGGTAAGTGACAAACCTGGGACAACATCTAAGAGCCAACCCCAAACCATTACCCGGGGAACCAAAGCCAAGTCACTCTTCTCCTCCAGGCCTTGGTTTTGTTTGATATGAAGGGGTATTTAACACTAAGTATGGGGTGATGCTCTCTGACTTCCTTCCAGCCCCGGAAGCCGGTGACTCCACAAAGCCCAGCCAAGAAAGCAGGTTATCAACGGAGAAGTCATTTTCTTTATGTCACTGACAGGGACTGAGAAGGAGGTGATGTCAACCACTTGGGAGACACCACAGGCTTCTCCTCTGATGCCTGAACCCAGCCCCAAGCCCAAATGGCTGCACGCAGACCCTGGGGCCCCAGCAGAAGGGTGTGAGGAACCCGCTGCAGGCACCTTCCGTCTGACGTCCATTCTCAGCTGCGGCCCCGAGCCCTGGCCCTGGCGCCCCTGGTTCAGGGCAGAGGACACAGACTTGGCCAGCTGGAGGAGCCGCTCGGGGCCATGCTCGCCTTGCAGAGTGGTGGCAATTTTCTGTGACACGGCAGCCTGGAATGCCCCATCCTCAACACGTGCGTCTCCGAGTCTCACCTGTCGGGAAAGCAGGAACGTGCTCAGTGGTCCCTGTTCAAGAACCCGGGGCCTAAAGTCACGGGTCTTCATGCAGGGAATGAGAGCAGGGCTGGATGCCATTGGCCTGGCACGGGGGCTCTCGGGCACTTCCTGAGGCTGGAGGGCAGCCAGACCCACTTGTACCGGGCAGCCGATGGCCACCAAAACCAAGCCTTGGTCAACTCGAGCCTCGGGCAAGTCATGGCTTCCCCGCTCCCTGCCCTCCTCCTCTTGTTCTCAATCCCTTCCCTTCTACCCGGCTTCTGACCCTTGAAATCCTCTCGGGACTTTATCCAGGCTCTGCTTTGTGTCCCTGCTGGCTGCTCTTGGTCCTCCTTCCTCTGAGCTCTCTGGAGGCACCGGCCTGACTCATGCCAGGGTCCTTCTGCGCCATCCCTGCCCCTGGCTCCCAAGACCCTGCCCCTATCCTGGCCACTAAGTCATAAGATCTGCACAGGTAGAGACAACTCCTGGCGTGTCCATGGCTGTATTCCCAGGACTGGACATATAGTAGAAGCTCTGTCGATATTTGTTGAAGGAATGAATGAATCAATGATTCATCTGGCTATGGCTTTGGCTGCCTGTCATCTGGCCACCCTTTTGGTGAGGTTCAGATGGCTCAGGAAGTTTTCTCAGTAAACAAACAACAGCCACCGCCACCATCTACCTTAACTGCTGCACGGGTCTGCTGTCTGTCCCCCGCGTGATTGGTGACAGAAATGACCACTGTCAGCACAAAGTCATTGTTTTCTTTTCCAAGTGGCAGATAAACTGATGGGAGGGCAGGTTCAGGGCCACAGTGCAGGCAGGAACCTGGGAAAATAAAAATTGACCAGTTAGGGGGGCATCTCCAGGCCCCAGGGACACTGCAACCCACTCACGCAGAGCCTGGTCACCAGGGACACAAAAGCCACCACTCTTGAAAGCATGACAGGCACTTGGAGACTCCATGGTTTCAGAGAGCAGACAGCCATATACACTGGTTCACTGTCTTCTCTGACTAAACGCGGGTCCCCGTAACTTTGCAATAATTTTACTAACATCCATGAAAATTTACTGGAAAAAATCCCCCATTTACCACTTTTTTAAAATAAAAAATTCAAAGTGGTAAACCAAATGATAAAAAGAAGAAAAAGAATGAGGAAGAGTAGGGGGCGAGGGAGAGAGGGAGCTCGAAACATATGCAAGCTCCCTCAAATGTCACTGCCTTCACGAAGCCCTTCCCTGCTGCTGTCTCTAAAACAGCCGCCCCTGCCGTCATGTGTGCCTTGTTTCCCTGTTGTCTCGGCCATGCTAGATTGTGAAGACCGTAATTTCAGAGACTTTCACTATTTGCCCCCTGATACTTATCTAGCACCTGGAACAGACCCTAGCATTCAATCCACATTTGTTGTAAAAATGAATGAATGAATAGCCTTTGTATCCTTCAATAGGACCCACCTATCACTGGACTCACTAATCATCCCATAACGGGCAGACACTCATGAAGCTATTAACTTGCAATTGAAACTCCTGTTTCTTTGGCCACACTTCCCTCCCTTCTTGCTAACCCGCGTGGGGCTGGGAGAGGTAGTAAAGTGAATAACCAGTTGCAATTAGAGCAGCTGTCCTGGCCTCTGCCTTTGGGGAGATTCGAGTTTGAAATAAAATCTACTTACCGTGCTTGGGTTTTTTCCTTCCAGGCTCAGCCCCAGTGACAGCCCTCTTAATGGCCCTGCGCGTCCACATCTATCTGACAGGGCACCCCGTGAAAACTAGACTCCCTTGGGTCTGTGACTAGCTTAGGTCCACCTTTCCCTAAGGAAGGCGTGGAGCTTACATCATTGTCGTGTTTGATGCTGGAGAATCCTGGTGACACTCCTGGTGCCCACCTTTGGAGGAGAGTTCCCATCTGACTAGGACATTTTCGGAGCCCATGTGAGGGTCACAAAATGCCAAAGCCCACTGGGAGGAGACAAGGAACCAGATGAACCCTCCAAGCACCAATCACCACCAAAATAGGGGAACAAACGCAACGCGTGCTGCTCGCCCCGCCTCTCTGGCCGATGCCCTGCTGCTGCCCTGGGTGTGGGTTGTTTGCCTGACGGGGGGGAGGCTGTGGGGTCTTCCACGTTCATCATCTGCAAACGTTTGCAAAGACACTTTCTCCTTCCAGGTCGGCAGGTCCTGCCCCGTTGCCCGTTCCCTGCCGCCACCCGCAAGGCAGGATCAATAACATTGAAGATTCTGTGCACCAGACCCATCTCCATCTTCCCGAACAGCTCCAGCCTGCCAAGGGGGCGTGGCTACTCCAAGTGTGTGCTGGGGATAGTGTCCTGGTAGTGGCACCAAATGGTCATACTGGTGGGTATCCTCGCTCCTGTCACCCTTTCAATGGCCCCATGCTAGGACACAGGGCATTTTGGCTTCCAGTTGTGGAGGACCTACTGATGAAACCTGCTTCTCATGTCTCTGTGGGGTGCTGGCTGGGTCCGTGCCCTGGGGGTGGAGGCCAAGGATCAGGGGCACCCTTTTCCTGCCAACCTCTCTCGGACATAGAGCACATTCTTTGCAGCTCCCAGAGCGAGACAGGCCCCTGTTCTTGAAGGGGATGAGCCCAGGGGCTGAGGGGAGAGCGGAGTCCTCAGGCGGTACCTGATTCCAGGCAGAAGCAGTACTGCAGGGCGCCCAGGGCCGTGGAGGCGTTGCAGAAGATGGAGAAGCTCGTCAGAACGGTGCCCTCCTCCGGGGCAATGGCGCAGGCGGGCGCCTCGGGGGGAGGCAGGGTGCTGATCACGTAGGTGTCCTCCCCGTAGGCGTGCCTCGTCAGTGCTGCAGTCAAGACGGATCGCGTTTAGGGGCCTGTGTAGGTCCTACAAACTTGATCGTGCTTCAGGATCACCCAAGGAAGGAGCTTGTTAAATATGCGGATTCCTGGGCCCCTCTCCAGAACTGGAGCCTCAGACCTCTCTGGAGATTCTGGGGCAGGCCCAGAAATGTACATGTCTAACAACTCTCCCTGATGCAAGGAAACCCAGGGTCTCGCTTTCAGAAACTGAGCAGAGTTAGGGAAGAAAATAAGACAGAGCTAAGCTTGAATTTCAGTTCTGCCATTTGTTAACCAGGTGAACTTAGACTTGGTTGGTCGGTTCGCTTTTTAATTTTTTAAAATTTTTTATTTTTAATTATTATGGGTGCATAATAATTGTATATGTTTATAGGATAATTTTTTTTCTTTTTGAAACAGGGTCACTCTGTCACTCCGGCTGGAGTGCAGTGGCACAATCACACCTCACTGCAACCTCAAACTCCTGGGCTCAAGTGATCCTCCTGCCTCAGCCTCTCCAGTAGCTGGGACTACAGGCATACACTACTACACTCAGCTAATTTTTCTATTTTTTGTAAAGATGGGGTCTCACTATGCTGCCCAGGCTGGTATCCAACTCCTGGCCTCAAGCAATCGTTCTGCCTCAGCCTCCCAATGTACTAGGATTATAGGTATGAGCCACCATGCCCAACCAGACTTGGTGTTTTTGAGAGTCATTTCCTCATCTGTAAAATGGGGCTGATAACAACAGCTTCCTTTCGGAGAGTTTGGGAACAGGAAGCATATTGGGAAACAATAACACGTTCAAGGTCCCCGAGCCAAGAAGGACAAGAGACAGGTTCCGGAAGCGGGCTGATCCCACCCGAAGCCCACGCTCTTCCCAGGCCCCCGCAGCTGACCTGCAGCAATGTCCCACATCACCTGGCACAGTCCCTAGTTTTCCAAAAAGAGCATATGCCTGGAAGAGCTGGGCATAAAGAGAATTTTAATCCATTAAAAAGAATTCCTTGGCCCAGACTCAGAAGGTTTGGGGTGGACCCTACCCCAAACTAGAACCCCAGTTTATTCTGGTGCGGGTGGCCCATGGGCCACTTTGGGAAATATAGTAAGTACCAAAAGAATCCTTCCTAAAAAGAATGCCCCTCCCCCTATTATTTCTCTTTTCGAGAATCGACATTTCCCAGCCTGGGCTTGTTTTAAATGAGAAGCTCTGAATTATCCTGGCAGGACACACAGGTACCACAACCCCAGAATGACCTGCTTGTACCACTGTGTCATCTCACTCATCCTGCAGGGCAACAATTCCGAGGCAGGTGTTTTGATTAACCCCAGTCCTCGTGTGAGGAAACTGAGGCACAGAGAGGTTACATCCTTTACCCGCCGTCTCCCGGTTAGAACGTGGTCGTGGCGGCATTCGCGCCAGAGCCTGTGCCACGGCCGGCGTGTGAAACCAGTGCCCAGATTGCAGTGTTGCCGCGCATCTCGGTTCCCGACAGGAGGTGGAAGGGAGGCTTCGCACCTGTGGCTCTGATCCGGACGACCTCTCCCCAGGTCCGCAGGAGGGAGCCGCGCAGCCGCAGGGCAGAGGTGTCGCTCTGCAGGGGCGTCAGAGAGCTGGGCCAGAATCCTCTGAGCCCGCAGGCGTCCGGAAGGAGCTCGGCCTGAAAGACAGCAGCGCCCGGGGCCCCTGAGGCTGTCGTTGGGCCGCTGGACCTCAGCAGGACGGTGGCTTCTGACTGCTGGGGGGCCTTTCAGTTTTATCCGTGGTGAGTAGAGGGCAGGCACCCACTGCTTCCCGGCAGGCCGGCGTGAAATGCCCACTCTCCAGCCTCGTCCGGGTGTTTGTCTGAGGCCCGTTCCCCAGGAGCACAGCCGGGGATGGGGACCTGTGTGCAGGTCATCTACGGAGGGAGGGCGCTCAGGGAAAGCCCTGGGAGGCAACAGGGCAGCAGGAACGGAGGCTGAGAAGTGGTTTCAAGGGGCGTCAGCCTGGCCCCTGGGGAGCTCTGAGCATAAGCTGCGCCACGGAAATTGCCTTCCTCGGGGCGGGGAGAGGGGTGGGCTGTCAGATCCCACGTCCATCATTTGTTGGCCAGCCGCTGCTCCACGGCTGCTGGGAGAGGGGTGCCGGCGGCATCCGCTGCAGGGTTTCTCCCAAGTTTTCTCTCCCTTGTATCCATCCTCCCTGCTGACGAGTCCCTGACCCTCCTCTACAGCCGCCCCCCGCCCCCCGACGCCCCCTCCACGGGCTCTGAGTGGGGTCGGCCCACCCCAGCTCAGCACTGGGCTTGCGACTCCAGTCTGGCCGAGCAGCGTGGGAGGGAGATTTCCCATGTTTGAGCGTTGTCCACGTCCTTACCTTCTCTGTCGGGGTGCTGTCTAAATACCAGCTGAACGTGGCCCCCGGGGAGTCATCTCCCGTGGTGACCCTGAGCAGAACGTCTTCACGGGCATTCACTGGCCTGCAGTTCTTCTCACAGCTGAAAGGCACACAGAGGACAATGCAAGGAAGCGTCTTTGGGCATCACTGTGGTTTGGATGTTTGTTCCCTTCAAACTTCACACTGAAATTCGATCCCCTGTGCTGGAGGTGGGGCCTGAAGGGGTGTGTTTGGGTCTTGGGGGCAGATCCCTGACGAATAGATTAATTAATTAATTGTGTGTGTGTTGGCGGGGTAGTGAGTTCTTGCTCTATTAATTCCTTGAGAGCTGATTGTTAAAAAGAGCCTGGCGCTTTCCTCCTCTCTCTCTTTCCTCCTCTCCCGCCATGTGATCTCTGCACACGCAGCTGCTCTTTGTTCTCCACCATGAGAGGAAGCAGCCTGGGGCCCTCACCAGAAGCAGGTGCCCAAGCTTGAACTTTCCAGCCACCAGAACCGTGAAGCAGAGTCTCGCTCTGTCGCTCAGGCTGGAGTGCAGTGGTGAAATCATAGCTCACTGCAACTCACTCGAATCCTAGGCTCAAGTGATCCTCCTGCCTCAGCCTCCTGAGTAACTGGGACTATAGGAAAAAACAACAAGCAAGGCCAAGGCCATTTTTATTTTGTAGAGATGGTGTCTTGCTATGTTGTCCAGGCTGGTCTGTAACTCCTGGCCTCAAGCAATCCTCCTGCTTCAGCCTCCCAAAGTGCTGGGATTTAGGTGTGAGCCACTGCACCCGGCCATTTTTTTCTTCATAAGTTACCCAGCCTCAGATATTCTTTCGAGCAACACAAAACGGGCACAGACAGACGTCTTGACCACTAGACTGGTCTTTTGCCCAGTTCTTTTCAAGTCCCACTCTCAAGGGTGGGAATGGCCTTTTTTCAAATGAAAGATGGAATAAAAGCCACCCCTGCCCCAACAAAAACTGGGACATAGCCTTGGTCGTGAAGGTGGAGTGATTCATAGTCTGACCAAATTCCCGTTTCATTCACTGCACAGGGTGAGACTATGGAAAGTGCATGAGGCTGAGACAGGACACTGGGTTCAAATCCTGTCCTGCCACTTATGAAAGGTCACCTTGTGCAAGTCACTTAAACTCCCTGAGCCTCAGTTTCCCCACCTGCAAAGTGAAGGGATAAGACCAGAGAATTTCTGTGATAACTTTTACTTCTAATAATGGTAAACTAATGCTGTGGTTTTATGGCATGTGTATCCATACATCAATGACCTCCATCTTTATTAGCCTGCCCAACGCTTACAACCCTGTGAGTGACGTATCAGAAACCCCACTGCACAGACGGGCAAACCAGGCTCAGAGAGCTTCTGTGATTCATCCTAAGTGGGTGCATAGAACACGGACCACGACATCTGGGTCTGAACTCTGGGCCTTTTCTAATGTCCTACCCCTCCCTTGAGCCAATGAGAGGTCACTGTGGTGTCTGCTGTGTGTCCAATCCATCCCTGGACAGCTCTTGAATCTTCCTACTTCTGTCCTCTTATCTGTCCTAGTTCGCATGTGCGGGATGCTCTCCATTTGCCCCCCATTCCATTCTCCACCAACCCTGCGCTCTGTGCCCGGAAGACTGCGCTCTGCAGACTGCCTCCCCCAGCTCCCCACCCTCTGCTTCCGGTTGGGTGCGCTGACAGCAAGCACAGACAGAGGCTGGGAGGGGGCGAGCTGAGCCGTCAGGGTATTTATTCACTCTCCCTGCTCCTTTCCTGACAGCCTGCAGCTGGGAGAGGCTGTGCTCCTCCCCCAAGGTCACATGTCCCATTGGACGGTCCCTCTCCCCCAGCAACAGCTCCCAGGGGCTGTCCAGTAACACTGTCCCCACTGTCACCCTGGCAGTCCTAGGAGCAATAATGGCTTCCCCCTGTTGTCATCCTGCATTGTCACCCTGACTTGTTCCCTTATCCCTGCCCCCACCTGTAAACAGACCCTGCATCCAGCTCTTGTCTGTTCCTGGTCTGAGCGGGCCACCTGCTTCCTGCAGGACAAGCTGAAAGGCAGAGCCACCTTGACCTCCCACCTCGACTCCTGCAGGGGCCTGAGCCATCCCCCTGAGTCCTCTCTCGCACTCCTTTGGCCCATTCTCCACTCTGCCACCAGGGCATTTTAAAGCAACATGCAATCATGTCCCCCACCTGCTTAGAACCCTTGGGTGGCTTTGTCTACAGAGCTCTCAGGGACGAGACCACAATCTTAACAGGCCCTGCCTGAGCCCGGCCCTGTCTGCTCCACCAGCTGCTTCTTGTCCTTCTTTTCTCCGTACTCAGGACACCGGCCTCTTTCAATTCCTATTCGCCCACTCTGTTCCCTCTCCAGCTGCCCTTCCCTGCCCACCTTCATTCCTCCTCCCCCTTCACATGTTCCTGAGGGACACGTTCTCTGATCCCCCAATCGGGGAAGTTGTCATAGGAGTTGCCGATCACCAGCTGGTAACCCCCATGAGAACAGAGACGGGGCCGTGTCTGCCCACTGTGGAAGCCCTGCCCCTAAGTCAGCACCAGCAGGAGTTGGCTCTCAGGAGAAGTTGGCTGCATGAATGAATGACAGCCCTGGAGGGATGTGCCCACACGCCCCACCTGACTCGAGGCCTGAGTTCCAGAGGAGCAGACACGTAGAGGCATCGCTCCGCCCCGTTCTCCAGCTCCTGGCCTCTCAGGACAGCCAGGCGCAGGGTGACGGCAGAGTTGGGCGGCGGCAGGCAGGGCGGTGGCAGCACCAGCTCCCTCTGGTCTGTGCGGAGCAGCCGCCTCTCAACACAGTCGCTCCACTGAGCCCAGCAACGCCCTGCAAGAGATGGGCGGGCGCTGTTATCCACCCAGGAACCCACCTTCTGGATTGGGGCTTTTAGAAGAAAGGGGTCACGAATAACAACGCCAGCTCCAAATAGAGACTTTGATTTTTTTTTTTTAAGTAACTTTTCATGCAGGTGCAGGAATGGTGCTGCAGAAGGGTGCTTCTGGGAAAATGACCCTTGCTTCACCCAGACGCTGCGCAAACCTGCAGGGCGCGCTGGACTTGCTGTGCGTCAGTGACTTGCACTGGTGATCGGGCAGGCATGGGGCAGGAGGAGCTGCAGCCCTGGAGACTGTCCCGAGCAGCTTCTCATCCCTGGTGCAATTGCCACTCCACATGGATGAGGCTATCCGTGTCCCTAGGGGCTACTATGGGGACCTGGAGGCTGTACCTCCACCTGGGAGGCTGCTATGTCATCTCCTTCTTTACGTTAGCTGCTCCCTAAATTCCTTTATTCTCTGCCTTTATTCGTCTCTGTTGATTGATGTTTCCCCATCAATCCCTCCCTCCCCACCACCTCCAGTGCCGTAGTCACTCCCAGATACATCCAGGGGCCAGGCTCATCAGCTGTCGCCTCAACTCCCCAGCTGTATCTCTGTATTCAGATAGTGAGAACTGACGTTCAGAAGGATGTCATGTCCATGTAGCAACTGACCTCCAAAGCCTTAACATTTTGCATGACTTTTGACCCAGTTATTCCATGTCTAGAAATTTATTTCTGAAGGTAACCCCTGATGTAAATAAAGATTGAACTATAAGGATGTGCGTCACAGTGTTATTTATAAGAGCAAACAGTTTGAAACAGCCTAAATGTCCAAAAAGAGGGCACTGCTAAATACATGGTCATACACCCACTTGATGATGTATTATGCAGTTACTACGAAATCGAGTTGGGGAAGATGCCACGACATTAATATGCACACGTTCAATTTAAGAAAAGGGGATGGGTAACAAAAGCAATATGCACAGTGTGAATGACATTCATTTTATTTCTAAAAGAATGCGTGTGTAGCTAGGATAGACCCCTGAGAAAAGGAGGACACCCTTTCTAAAACATGAGCTCCAGCGCTACCATATTGATTTGTCGGAAAATGCCTGACTCACTTGCTAGCCCCTCTCCCCAGTGATGTACCAAGGGAATGGGGGTGAGGGGCGGGATCCCCACCAGAGGGAGGAGTATTTCATCCCTTGCATTGTTTGGAATTGCCAACGTGTGGACCGACGTTCCCAGTTTCATGACTGTTTTTAAATTCTCTATGTCCTCTTGTTGCCGGCACCCAGGGGAAGCCGCCCCCCGGTCTGCCGCTGCTCTCCCCACCTCTCATTTCCATGCAATTTGCAACCTCCCACGCGCAAGCTACACAAAGTGTCAGGTGTAAGTACTGCCAGCGCAAAGAGTAAGAAAAAGAACAGCAAGACCTGACCGCTATTCGTTACTTTTTTTTTTTGTCCTAATGTTTAGATCCAGGAATAGTCATCACTTCTGAGTGAGAACTGCAAGACCACCTACCACATGACCACTGGAAGCGCAAATCCTTGTCCTTGTCCGGCCAGCCCAGCGTCACTGTCGTGAAAGGATCTGTGTACGGACCAGGTTTAATGTACACCTCCACGTCGCTTTTGTCGTTCTGCGGAAAAAGCAGCCGGCTGGTGAGACACCTCACTACGGCTAGCTCAGCCTCACTGCGGAGCGCCCTGCACCCCAGAGCAATCTGCACCACAGTCGGCCACAGAGAAAGGCGTGGAGTGGAGACAGACCCTGCCGTCCACCTGGCTTCCCCTCGTGGGGCGTCCGCTGCATTCTCAGGATCACTGGGTAAGTGACTTTATTCTACGTGTGGGCTCAGGGTCCACCGTGCATTCGACTGTGTCAGCAGAGGCCACTCGGGCGGGGCCCTGTGCTTGAGGCTGGAGACACAGGAGTAGAAGCTCAGCCCCTGCCCTCGCCTGCGCGGAACGGGGAGGGTAGGTCGACCGACAGTTAAACCAGAGTGGCAACTGCTGCAGAGGAGGGAGCCCAGGGGATCGCGAAAACGCAGCAGGGGAGGCAGCAGGTTCAGAACGCAGGCGCTGGGTCCGGCCAAATCTCAGATGGGATCATTAGCCCTGTGACCTCCGGACAATTTCTAAGTCTCAGCTTCTGTTCGTCTGAGGGTTTGATAGCAGCTGCCCCTGCAGTTGCTATGATCCAATCTGCTAACACTGTGTCTGGCACGGAGGAAAGGCGCAGGGCCGCTACCTTTATAAACCAGGTGGCAGGGCTCAGAGGAGCTGCCCCAGAGGACAGGCTCCTAGGGGAGGAGGAGGAAGGTTTAGCTGGGCAGCAGTGGAGAGCACATGGCTTCTAGGAAGAGGGGTTGGTGTGGCGCACCGTGTGTTCTGGAGTAAGTTTTGGAGGTACCTGTTAAACGGCTCGGGCTGTGCAGCCTCTTATTCAAGCCTAGAAGGCTTGGCCTGGAATAACACGAGGCCAAAGTAGAACTCAACCCCCTATGGCCTCCCATAGCCTGAGAATAAAATCCAGACTCCTTGCCGTGGCGCCTAAAGCCCACGTGGTCCTGCCTCTGTCCATCTCTCTGTTATCTCCTCCCCCCGCCCCACCAGACTGCAGCCACACTGGCTTCAGGCCATTTCCAGCCTCCCCAAGTTCTCAGCCCACCCACCCAGAAAGCTCTCGTTCTGCTTTCCAGCCTGGCTGCCTTATCTTCATGTGCCCACTTAGCTGGCACCTCTTCAGAGGCCTTGTCTGACCACATTTGCCAGACCACCCTCTGTTAGTGTTAGTGGCTGTCATTGCACCCTATTAGTTCTTGTTACACACTTATCACAGTTCCTAATTATATGCTAATTTGTTAGTCTCACCCAGTAAGGCAGGGATACATCTGTTTATTCACCATTGTATCCCCAGCACCTAATATCATAACTTGAACATTACAAATTCAGAATAAGTCTTTGTTATTGAATAAATGCATGCATGAACAATGTCAACAGAAAGGCATTGAAGACAAGTCTTGTTATTAAAAACTAAGAACATGGGCCTGTTTTCTACTATAAAGCTATATTAGAAAGCTATAAATTTCCCTCTGAGCATGGCTTTAGCTGCATTCCACATATTTGCCTAGGTTATATTATTATTGTCATTTAGTTAAAAATATTCCTAATTTCCCTTGTGATTCCTTCTCGACCTATTGGTTTTATTTTTAGAAATGTGCTGTTTAGTTTTCAAGATGCCTAAGAGATATCTACATATCCTAGATATGCACAATTCTGTTGTGGTTAGAGAACATGCTTCGTTTGATTTCAATCCTTTTGGGTCTCTTTTCAAATGGAAGAAGTCTTGGGGATTCCTAGTGTTCAGACTATTAGTACCAACCAACCCAAAGTCAAAACTAAAACATCTTTTCCTTGCGAGGTTACATTTTTTTTTCTTTTAAATACTCACATTCTTTTCTTCAGCATTCATTCCAGATGGTTCTTGGAGACTGGCAGGGGCTGTGAACACAGTGGGAATGGGTATCAAGGTTTGGCTGAAAACCTTATAAAACGTTGTCAAGAGGCGGAGTCAGAAGGTCATGCTGACATTCCCCAGGGGCATCCCCTTATCTTTGGAAATGGTCTGCGAGAACACAGCAAACATTCAGGTCGTAGGGAAATGGGTCAAAAGCAAACCGTCATGTCCACCTTTGCGCTAAAGACAGAGGTTAGTAGCTAAGAAAGAGGCAGCTGCCCACGCAGAGAAAACATGAGAGTTACAGTCAAGCAGAGGGAGCTGTGTGCTGCTAATGTTTAGCTACCGGTGGAGGGGTCGGCAGTGAGGAGCCCTGGATTGCAGCGTTTGCTCATGCCTGTGCTGTAAATGTTCCCACCAAAGTGGGTCTCAAGCACCCAAGCTGACGTTACTGAGTGTGGAGTGAGGAGAGGTGGACACAGGCAGCTCTGACATGCCGGTGGGAGCTGGGGTGGTGTGCCACCGTGTGTTTCCGTACCCCCTTATTGGCCCCGTACCGACTATGTTCACTGGGCGGCTTGGTGATTCTTTCCTGGTCTTAGTTTCCTCATCTATCAAAAAGACAGAAGGCGATCCTTGCATTGCTATCTCAGTGCTCCAGGAAGCCTGAGGGCTACGCTGTTTATCCTATTGCATTGTAAACCACACATGTATAAAGAATGTTAGTGTGCCAAGTTAAAGAAATGGAAAAGGTATACTCAGTCGATGTCTCTGATGATATTGAGATGTTAATATGATTAATGTCTAATTAAGGTGATTAATATAGGAACTTAGAGTTATTCCATACGATTCACGAGTCCCCAGTGACTTGGCTATATTGAGGGCTGGGATGACTGGGAATTTAAAAAAATTCTCTCCCAGTGAGTTCTCATTCACACAACTATACCATTGAAGGTCTGCAAAATTATACAAAGCAGGGCTAAGATGCCAGACAAAGAGGCCTTTCTTAATCTTAAGAAGGAAGACAGTCAACCTCGAATGAAGAAATTAGGAGAAATAGTTGCTGCCTCTGATCCTGCAATGAATTAGCTGAGTGACCTCTGCAAAGTCCATTAACCCTTCTGGGCCTCAAATCCTGTGGAATTTGGAACACATGGAACAGATTGTGTCCCCCAACCCCCAACCCCTGTCTAGACATCCCTGCCTCCTTCCTGTGGTATCAGCACCTATGGGTGCTATTTTTCCTGTGCAACCATCCCTCCCCCACTCTCAGCCCTTGGTCTGGGTGATGCTAACCCTACATCATACTCCAGGGTGAGCACGTGGTCCTGACCTGTCCAAACTGAGCCCACTTCCCCCTGGTCTCAGCAGCTGGTCCAGGAGGGAAAATGAACTGAGCTTGGGCCAGCGAGAACGAGCCTCAGGACCTCTGCTTGGAAGTAGCCTCCAAGAGGTGCTCTCTCTCCTCTGGGGTTACGAATCAAAGCCTGGGGCCATCGTACACTGCTTGGGAAGAGAGAATCAGAATGAAGCCAACACAAAACCAAGAGCTGGAGAGAGGCAGATTCTGAAGACACTGGGTGATGATGGATCCGGCTGGGCTTAAGACCAGGTCCACCCCCTGGACTTTTCATGTTCTGAGCTGATGAAATTTCCTTTTGACTCAAGCCAGTTTGAGCTGCTTTTCTGTCCCTTGCTTCTCAAAGAGTCCTGCCAACTTTAACTCTGGTGAACTTTAACTCTGGTGGCTACTCAGCAGCCGTTATCCCATCCCTCCTCCCTGCAGCCAGAATCCATCTCCTCCCATGGAGCCTGGAAACACTGGACACCTGCCTTCCCAGCGTCACTTACAGCTGGGCACCTGACCCCACCCTGGCCATGGGTACCCAAGGTGAAGATTGCAGGGAACTAGTAGGGGAGATGTTCCCCCTAATAAAAATAGGTGCACAGGAGAAAGGCCCTTCTTCTGCTGCTGGATAAGGCTGGGTTTGCATGCAATGTCTGGAACTGCAGCAGCCACTTTGATTCCAAGAGAAGCAAGCCTAAAGAGAAGGACAAAGCTCTGAGGATGGCAGAGCAGAAAGAAAGACTGAGCCTGAGTCCTTGCTGACATCACTGAGCCACTGAACCAACCCCAGAACTACTTACCGCCTAACTTCTTATTCTGTGAGGCAAGAAAATCCTGAATTTAAAGCCACTTAGGTTGGATTTTCTGTTACTGGCAGCCTAAAGCATCATAACTGATACAAACTTTCCTGTTTTAGAATTCTGTATCACCAGTGGTCGAATGCTGTACTGTATATATCATTGTCTCTTTGGAGTAACCAGAGAATTCTTTTTTTTATTTGTTTGTTTTGTTTTTGTTTTAGAGACAGAGTCTCATTCTGTTGCCCAGCCAAGGCTGGAGTGCAATGGCATGATCACAGCTCCCTGCAACCTCGAACTCCTGGGCCCTAGCAATCCTCCTGCCTCAGCCTCCTGAGTAGCTGGGACTACAGGCATGTGCCACCATGCCTGGCTAATTTTTAAATTTTTTTTATATAGATAGGGTCTTACTATGTTGCTCAGGCTGGTCTCAAATTCCTGACCTCAAGCGATGCTCCTGCCTTGCTCGGCCTCCCAAGGTGCTGGGGTTACAGGCATGAGCCACTGCACTCAGCTCGGAGAATTCTTAATATTTGTAGAACAAGATAGGTACTCAGAGCCCTGTTTTGAAGGGCCCCTCACTAGATCCCAAGCAAGTGCAATGCCCTGGACTCCTGGTAACAGGTTTTGTACCCCCTTTGCAGAAACACCTTGCCTGTGACAGTGATGCTTCCGATTTCCAAAGTCAGGTTGGAGAAGGCATTCCTCACTAGCACGGTGACCAGAAAGGTTCCTGCAACGCAGAGGGCAGAGAGTTACAGGCATTGTTGCTAATTATTTAACTTGCACTGAGACAACTCTCCCAGCTTGTGTTTCTCCATCCCCTCAAGACAGCATGTTACCTTTGACCCTCTGAGCATTTAATGATTCCCTGCTGTATGCCAGGCACCTGATGCAAGGCTCTGGGGACATAGAGAGGAAGGGACACAGTCCCTGTCCTCAAGGGCCTTATCGTCAAGTGGACACGTAGGACAATTAAGTGCCAAACCACGGTAGGAACTGGCCTGTGGGCATTGTGGGCATGGAGTGGGGTCACTTCACCCTCAGGAGAGAAAGAAATGGCACGTGGGAGGGCACCAGGGCTAGAGCTAGATCCCAAAGCATGCGAGGATGCTCATTAGTCAGGTTGGACCAGGGTCCTGCAGAGGGAAAGATGTGGCAGGATTGTACGACGGGTCAAGAGAGCAGAGCGGGATGAGAAGGGTCTATAGATCCATCTGGCGAGCCCCTGCTAACACAGGTGGACCCATCCCTTCTCCCTCGTGCAGAAGGGGTGGGTGGTGGGTGCTACCTTATCTTCCTCTCTAGTCTAGGGAGAGGGTCTACAGAGGGGACCCTTCCCTGGAAGGCTTGACATGTGTTCCTTGAGGTTTGACAACCCCTTACTCATGCCCTTGAAGGAACAGTTTATGAGGGGGCGGGGAAGGGGAGTAGAGGGCTACACTTCTGGGAAATAACTACATTTGGCTGGCGGTAGGCCACGGAATGGGTAAGGATTTTCTATGGACCAGATGTGGGCCTTGGGGAGAACGGTGCTGAAGAGGACAGGGAGGATGAGGCGAGTCCAGCAGAGAAAAGGGAGGTGGCCCCGGAGAAGCTGCCAGGCAGGTGTGGCCAGTTGGAGGGAATGCACCGCCCCCATGCCCTGAGGTCTCAGGGGCCCAGCAGGGGACCTCGGGAATCCAGAGATGCTCCTATAAGAAAGGCAGCTTCAAACATCTGCTGGGCCCCAAGAGCCAGGCCAGCCAGGACGGGGCCAGCGCTGCCAAGTGCCAACGCTCCTGTCCTATCCTGTTCCCCGTCCTATCCTGTTCCCCGTCCTTCCTCCCACCCCCATAACCCCTGGAGTAGTCCAAATCTGTTGGCTGTAGGGGGAAGAGAGGTCTGTTAATCATCTAAGAGTGAGCAAAAAAGTCATGAGGCATGCAGAGACTTTATCAATGAGGAAGGCATAAATTTCTCCTACTGAGCAACTTTTATAGGAGTTACTGTTACAGGAGACAAAACTGTATTTGCATTTGGATCATAGCCTGTGTGCTGGGTGGGCAACATCTGGGTTCCTCCTGTTCCAAGCTGGACCCTTGGTACCTGGTGACATTCCAGTGGTTTTCTTCTAGAACCTGTTGTCCCTTCTGCTAACTCTTTTGTTAGGGCATGGTAACCCCACACCTGCAGAGTCTCACCCGCTGTCTAACACACCTCTGAGATCCGCAGAGGAGCTGTAGGCAGGTCCCGGGGGCTGGAGACTCTGCAATTCCCATCACATTCCTGCCTGCCGACCTCATCACATGGCCCTCAAGGACTCTCTGCTCCTTTCAGATTAAATACAAATGTGTGCTGTGGCCTCCGGCCCTGGCTGGGGCCAGCCAGTCTGTCCCCCAGCCAGCATCATGGCGACACTTCCTCTCTCCGTCCCCCTCTCTACCACCCTTCAGTTTTTACCTCTCCCCGACCAGGGAACGGACTGCCATTTCCCAAGCCACTGTCTCCTCTAGAGATGTTAGAAGAAGCCTGATACACCTGCTGTCTTCCAGTGGTTCTCAACAGTGTGATTTTGCCCCTCTGAGACATTCGACAATGCCTGGACACATTTTTGGTTGCCATGGTTTGGAGCGCTGGTGCTACTGGCATCTAGTGGATACTGCTAGATGCCTGAGAAGCTGCTAAAACTCCCACAGTAGCAGCCCCCAACTGTACTGAGGAATTATTCAGCACCAAATGTCAGCAGTGCCAAAGTTGAGAACCCCTGCAACTGTGAGCCCCGTGAAGGCAGATAATATCTGTCTCTTCCTGAGTTTTCAATCCAGGCAGGATGCCATGAGCCATGTTTGTGCCCAGACGCACCAAAAAACTGACTGGCAGGACCCTGGGTACCAAGTCAGGAAGGGAAGAGGAGGGAGGTCTGGAAGGGGAGCCACCGACCCCAGGTACCTTCAACTGGAACGGCCACGTGGTAAATCCCAAATGGCTCCCCGGAGCTCACTTCTTTGTGGAAGAAGGTTGCACTGTGTCCTGCCACCTCAAAGGTCAATTCCTCTGGGGTGCCCTGAGCCACCGAGACATTGATCAACAGGTCCCGTCCAAGCTCCAGATGGTCTGAAGCCCAGGAGGCCTGCAGCCCCGACAGCAGCTCCACGAAGTGGACCGTGATGTTTCTGGAGGGTGTGGGGGTGGCGGTGTTGCTGACGGCCCGGATCTCCAGCTGGTGCCTCCCAGGGCCCATCCGTTCCTGGGTTTCTCTGTCCAGGGTCAGATTGTACGGCAGTGCGCTCCTCTGGGTGGTGGACTCAGCCAGGGTCATGTTCCCCGAAAGCACAGTATAGGTCACCCCTGTTCCTATGTGGGGTAAGAAAAATGTAAGAAAGTAAGAACCATGCAGTTGATAACACTATGGTAGTTCAGACTCAGTCTCTGAAGCCAGATTCTGGATATAGACACGGATATGGACATAGATATGAAGAAATATGTAAGGAGGTACCCCTCTCCCTAAATATTAACAGAGATTACCCCAGAGGATTGGGTTAATGAGGGATTTTTTTCTTTTTGGGTCCTCTCTGTTCATTTGCATGTTCCAGTTTCTTTATACTACACATGTGTTACTTGAGATCTTAAATGTCCAATGTCCATAATAAGTAAATCAGAACATTTTGTTGCCAGGGATATCCTTGGGGGGAGGAAGGCTGAGAAGGGAGCATCTCTTAAGGGCGTGGGCTGATTTTCTGCGCGATAGGGAGCCTCGAGTCGTCACTGCAGCAGGAGCAGGTGCCTGCTTGGAGCTCTGCCCACGTGAGAACTCGGCCGTTCACGGGGAGGTGGGGCTCCCTTGCAGTTTGCATATGGTTGTTCTAACTGGATGCTACAGATTGCAGTTGACTCTTCAAATCTGATTTAAACCAACACATTAGGATTCTTTCCAGTAGAAGCCAAGCTAGTATATTTCAGAATTAGGATTCTTGTTTGGATGAAGACGATGATGATGGTGGTGATGATGACAATGGAAGCCTCGTGAGGTCAGGAACCCTGACTTCCATATTTGCAGCCTCCTGACACCTGACAAAGAGCAGGCACTCGATTCTATTTGTAGAAGGAGTAAATACGGGAAGGGTTGTTTTAAGTGTCCTCGGGTGCACCTGTCAGCCGTCTTTACCCCACAAGCACACGAGAAGCAAAAGGCGTCCCGTGAGCCCTGAGTGAGAGCCCCAAGACAGCTTCCACCAAGTCGCTGCTGTGAATGAGGCTCCACTGGCGTGTGAGGTCACCCGAGCCACCTGCTCACTTCTGCGTCTCTGTGCCGCACCATTCACACATTCCCGCCCTGTTCTGATCTCAAACTGGGCGTGTGCTTCAGGAAAGGTGCGGCCCTGGGTGAGGATGGGTCCTAGCCAGGAAGGTCTCTGTTGACAGAAGGGTGATAATTAAAATATTTAACAACCAACACTTCATGGGCACCAACCCATATGGTAGAATGGATGCTCTGATGAACCGGAACAGGCACTGTGACCAATCAGAATGGATGCCATGGACAATCAGCATGGACAGCTCGACCAATCAGAATAGACACGATGACCAATCAGAGTGGACTCTGTGACCAATGAGAATGGAGCCCAGCCGTAATCAGGGGCGTGGCTGTATCAGTGGGTGCGTCTGAACATCAGACCTGACTGGGTGCAACTTGACTTTGCAAGCTAGTGGACGTTAGCTTTGCTGAGATGGCCCAGCTGGGAGCACTCCCAGTCCCACCTCACCCTGTTCAGATCCCCCCGACAGGGAGCAGCTTGGAAGTTCAGTTCCTGTGACAGGGCTATGGGCGTGCAGGGAAGGGCCTTCGGAAGGCTGGGGGCTGTCACTAGCTTACTAGCCTTGGGACTTTGG